CCCCTGCAAGGTAGGGATTATTATCCCCATTGTACAGATGGGGAACTGAGGCACAGAGATGCTAAGTGACTTACCCATAGATCATACAGGAAGTCTGTGGTAGAGGAGGAAACTGAAGCCAGGTCTCTCAAGTCCCAACCTAGCACTGTAGTCTCCAGACCACACTACCCATCTACACTGCTCTGATCATTTTAATCACTTTCGTTAAAAAAAAGTAGCAATTCGTTTATTTCTCTACAATCTCACTATTTTTTCTCTGCCAGATCCTGCCACCATTGCTCATGTCCAGCAGTACCATGCCTTGCAAGTACTCCCTTTACGCTGAATGAGACTACTTGCAGAGGAGGGTATTACTCAGTGTGAGTAAGAGGGGAAATCAGGCCCTTAGGGGTTCTTTACCCACTAGCTGGATTAGCAAGGCATACAATCTTGCTAACTTATACTTACACTGTACCTGTGGGCTGTACCTCTAAATATTTCTAGAGTTGTTGAGTTCCAGTTCAAAAGTCATTGACTGAAACCTTCAATAACTTCACTGCATTTCGTTACAAACTTTGCTTTAGTATCATCTTTGATGGCTTTAAGCCCATTTTTTACATACAGATGCCAACGTTTCTTAAGATTTCTGAATATAAAGGCTCAGATTCCTGTGCTGAGTTCTGTGTGGTACTGGAGGCGGGCAATTGCCAGGGAGCAAGTTATACCTCCCTGATTTTCATGGTGCCTTTGTACTGGGCCTGGCCTATTGGCATAAGTTAGAGCACCTTTGAGTTGCTCTAATTTACACCAGCTGGCTATCTCCCTGTGGGACCATAAGCCTATCTAGAATTGGTGTAATGATGTAATGCCCTGTCCTGCCCCCTTGCCATTCCTAGTGTGCCTCCAAAACTCTACCTTCCAGATTGTGTGTGAGGGGCAGTTGACATAGAAGCCAGCTATGGCAGCTGAGCGCTCCCCTATGGCCATGTAGGGTCAACTTCCATCGCTCTGTCTGCCTGATCTGGGCAAAATTACAAAAAAGTCAAAACATTTCATTTTGATATTTTTTAAATGAAATGTTTACATTTTTTGGTTTGAAATGACTTTTCATTTAGAAATCTCCTTCAATTTTTTTTTTAATGCAAACATATTTTAAAAGTACTTGATATCAAAATAAAACACTTTTGTTCAACTGAAATTAATATTTTTTTTAACTTTTCAATTAGCCAAAAATTTCAAATCATTTTGTTGTTTGGTCAACCCAAAACTTTGGTTTTGGTATTTATAGGGTTTTTTTTTTAATTACCAGAGAGCTAAAAAGTCTGTTTTTCACAGAGCTCTAATCTCTACAACCTTTTTCCACTGGAACAAAAGCCACGGGTTTCACTCAGTAATTTTCTTTTAAGTAATTATCATTTTCTAAAGATTGGATAATTTCTGGATTTATTTTCCCATGCAGTGTGTACATGTATCAATAAGTGTTGTTAAACTAAAAATGTAGGAAAGTGGATCACATCTTCTTAATGGGAGAGTATCTACCACCTGGCTAGTTTGGGTCATGGTTTATTTATAATAATTCTAATGCATCATTCCAAGTCTAATGAAATTCATTGTAGTCTGTACCTTTCATCCTTGGAGAATCCTTCTTATGAAGGTTTGACTCAATAGAAAATATATTGTTTTTTAAATACCCAGTGATTTATACACAGCTTGTTTTTCTTTATCTAGTTTTTATAATCCACATTTATCCCATGTTTAGCTCCATTTAAATTGATGAAATGATATGTGGGACATAACTGGTCCTGTATTTCAGGGCAAAATTATTATAGAACTCACAAATGCAATCAGATTTGGGCATATCAAATTTAATTTCCATCTTTTCATCCCACTTTAGCTATTGGAAGTAGCCACCAACCAATTAGCATCTCAGCTACAGAAACAAGGACTTCTGATTTGCATACTTCCAGTACCTATATTTCAACGACATCCATCAGAGGTGAAAAGAGGACATTAAGGTCTCTAACCTACAGCAGCACCTTGCCTGATGTGACAGACAGCTCCACTTCTTACTTAGAAAATACCAAGTCTTCAGATTTACCCAAGCCCTCGTCTCCTGTAGGACAGGCTGGAAGAAGTAATATCTCATCAAGTGACTTCACTGAGCCTTCCACAGAGTCTTTGTTTACACATTCTTCCAAGATACCAAGTTATTCGTCTTCCCCAAATGATCTTGCAGGTGGGTTTTGTGATTCCCAACTGGTTATTGCACAGTACTAAAAAAAATGATAAAAAGAGCCCTTCACTCCCAGAAAACTCAGTTGACCCATTTTTTAAGGAATCAGATGCTCTTTAGTAACTCAAACCCAGGAAAGGCCATAGAGTCAGAGTTTAAGGCCACAGGAACCACTATATCATTAAGTCTGACCTGTATATCACAGGCCACCAACAGCAGCAAGCATCCGCCGACTTAACCTGATGACAGAAATGAGACCACAGTATTACAGGATACTAGACTATTATGTACCACAGGCAGAGGATAGGAGGAACTGAGGTGCACAGGTCCTTATATTGCCTCTATTACCTTAGTATGTGAGCACCTAACAATTTTTAATGTATTTTTCATCACAATAGCCCTGTGAGCTGGGACTTGACCTCAGGCTTCCCAAGTCCCAAGCTAGCACTCTACCAGCTGGACCAGCCTTCCCTTCTAGCATGGATCTTAATATTTTAATTGCTTTTAAAAAAAGCCATTTTTTCTCTACAATGACACCATTTTTTCTCTGCCAGATTTTGCCCCCATAGCTCACATCCATAGGTCCATGCCCTGCAAGTAGTCCCATTACGCTGAATGGGACTGCTTGCAGAGGAAAGTTTTACTCAGTGTGAGTAAGGGGGAAGATTCAGGCCCTTAGTGACTTGTGACCAGCCAGTGGGATTGGAGAAGGCATGCAGTCTTGATAGTTTACATTTAAACTGCACTTGTGGACTGTACTTTTAAATATTTCTGTAGGTGTTGAATTTCAATCAAATTCAGTGCTCCAACTTTGCTTTAGTAACACCCTTTATGGCTTTTTGAGCCCACTTTTTACAGAGATGTTAACATGTCTAAAGATTCCTGATTATAAAGGCTAAAATTCCCGTACCAAGATCTGCTCAGCATAGGAGGAGGGGAAATTTCCATGGAGCAAAGTTACATCTCCCTCATTCTCCTGTGCAAGTGCACTGGCCCAGGCCCATCAGCATAACTTAGAGCAGTTTGGGGGCTGCTCTAGTGTACACCGTTTGGCTATCTCCTTATGGAATCATAACTCTACTGAGAATTGATGTAATGAGGGTATGCCCGGCCCCCTTGCTAGCCCCAGAATGCATCCAATACTCCACCTTCCAGGTTGCTTGTGAGAGGCAGTTGGTGCAGAAGCCAGCTGAGACCTTCCCTTCAGCAAGGGAATTTTCTGCTGGCCATTTAGGTCAAGTTCCATCATTCTCTACCACTTTTCTCCTCTGCATCAGCCACTGGAATCTAAGCCACAAGTTTCACTCAATGGTTTTCTTTTAAGTTATCATTTTCTAAAGAATGAACAATTTCCTGATTTGTTTTTACATGCATCTATCTATCTATCTATCTATCTATCTATCTATCTATCTATCTATCTATCTATAAGTGTTATTAAGGTAACAACATGGGAAAGTGGACCACATCTTCTTGGTGTAGGAGACTGCCCACTATCTGACTAGTTTGGGTCACACTTTGATTATAATGATTTGTACACATTATTCAAGCTCTAATTATACTCATTTTGTCTATACCTTTCATCCTCCAAGAGTTCTGTTTATAAAAGTTTCAATCAATAGAAAAGATTTTGTTATTTTAAATACACAATGATCTATACACAACTATTTTTCTTGGTCTAGTCTTTATAAACCAAATTCATCCCATGTGTATCTCCATTTTAGTTAATGGAGTTACACACTGGATTTATTTGGTCCTGTATTTCAAGCAAAATTATTACAGAATTCGCAAATCCATTCTGAGTTAATGTAATTTCCACCTTTGGATATCATAGCTGCCATTGGACGTAGTTATCAGTACCTTAGCAGCTCAAATACAGGAAAAAGAATGTCCAGTCCTTGTACTAACATTTCTGTAGTTTTAAAATTTGTGTAAGTGCCAGTAGCATGCAATGCGAAGCAGTGTAACTGGATGGTGAAGTTAAGCATGCAGCTTGTTAGTCCCACAGTTATTTTTTTGGTGGCACTATTTATGGCTCTAATATTCTTTTTTGCAAGTAATAATTTCAGGCGTTACTGAATATGAAGTGTACATGTCTTTCCAAAGCAGCATTTTCTCCAGACCGAAACTTAACCCTGTTTTAATATTCATACATGCACTGTATTCATCTGTGTTTTGTTCGAAGAAAACTCATTCATGTGTTTGGATTTATTCATATGAAATTATAATTTTTCTTTATCATATTTTAGCCATGGAAAGTAGCCCCCAACCAATTAGCATCTCAGCTACAGAGAAAAGGACTTCTGATTTGCATACCACCAGTAGTTACATTTCAACAACATTCACCAGCGGTGGAGAGAAGACGTTCAGATCCCTAACAAACAGCAGCACATCACCTGATGCAGCAGAAAGCTCTACTTCTAACTTAGAAAATACCGAGTCTTCAGATTTACCCCAGCCCTCATCTCCTGTAGCAGAGAGTGGAGGAAGTAATATCTCATCAAGTGACTTCACTGAGCCTTCGACGGAGCCTTTGCTTACGCATTCTCCCAAGATCCCAACTCCTTCGTCTTCATCAAATGATCTCGCTGGTGAGTTTTGCAATTCCCAACTGGTTATCGCACAGTTAAAAAAACTATAAGAAAGAACCTCCCACCCCCAAAAACAAAGTCAACCCTTTTCATTAAAGAAGCAGTTGCTCTTTAACTCAGACTCATACCTATGAAAGGTCCTTATATGGCCTCAAATATTATCGTGTCTAAGCGCCTAACAATCTGTAATGTATTTATCCTCCCAACACCCTGGTGAGGTAGGTGAATGCTGTTATCCCCGTTTGACTGATGGGAACTGAGGCAGAGAAAAACCAAGTGACTTGTCCAAGGTCAGACAGGAAGTTTGCAGAAGATCAGGGAACTAAATATCTCCCAAGTCCCAAGCTAGCACCCTAACCCTGGACCAACCTTCTCTTCTAGCACTGCTCTGAATATTTTAATAGCAATCCATTTTTTCCCTCTATAATGGTACAGTTTTTTCTCAGCCAGATTCTGGCACAATTGCTCATGTCCAGCAGTGCCATATCCTACAAGTACTCCCATTATACTGAACGGGATTACATGTATTGTAAGATATTAGTGTGAATGAGAGAGGAGATTCAGGCCGTTAGGGTATGGCTACACTGCCATTAAAAACCTGCGGCTGGTCTGTGCCAGCTGACTCGGGCTTGCAGGGTTTGGGCTAAGGAGCTATTTAATTGCAGTGTAAACATTTGGGCTTGGGCTGGAGCCCAGCCTCGCAGGCGCTGCAAGGTGGGAGGGTCCCAGACCTTTGCTGCGTCCTGAGCCCAAACATCTACACTGCAATTAAACAGCCACTTACACTAACTCCTGTGAGCCTGAGTCAGCTGGTCTGGGTCAGGCGCAGGTGTCTGATTGCAGTGTAGACAGACCTTTAGTGATTCTTTACCAACTAACTGGACTGTAGAGGCATTAAATCTGCTTAGATTTAAACTGTACCTGTAGACTGTACCTCTATTTCTATAGGTGTTGAATTCCAATGCCTATCTTCACTGAATTTAATCTGTTTTAGTAACCCCTTTTATGGCTTTCGGAGCCTGCATTTTACAAAGAGATGCCCAAACTTCTGAAGATTTCTGAATATAAAGGCTCAGATTCCTATGTTGAGGTCTGCTTAGTGCAAGAGGAAGGGAACTACCAGGGATCAAGTTACACCTCCCTGAGTCTCATAGTGCATTTGCACTGGCCCTGGCCCATAGGCATAAGTTAGATGAACTTAGGGGCTGCTCTAACTTACACCAGCTGGCTATATCCCTATGGGATCACAAGTCTACAAGGAATTGGTATAGTGCAGGCATGCCCTGTCCTTTTCCCTCATATGTCCCAGCATGCCTCCAATATTCCACCTTTCAGGCTGGTGTGATGGGCAGTTGGTGTAGAAGCCAGTTATGCCACCTAATAGCTCCCTGTGCAAACGGAATTTTCTGCTGGCCATTGTGGGCCAGGTTCCAACACTCTCTGCTACCCTTCTCCTCTGGAACAGCTAGAGGAATCTAAGCAATAGGTTTTAATGAATGATTATCTTTTAAATAATTATAACATTCTAAAAAGTGAATAATTTCCAGATTTGTTTTCAGATGCCCGTGTGTGTGTGTGTGTGTGTGTGTGTGTGTGTGTGTGTGTGTAAAGAACTATTGTTGTTCTGCTCAAGATGTGCATATAAAAACTTTAATTTTCAGAT